CTCTCTCTCTCTCTCTCTCTCTCTCTCTCTCTCTCTCTCTCTCTCTCTCTGTGCGGCACTGTCTCTGGTCACTCTCCCTAGTCGCACGTCTGGGTCACCGGGACTGACAGGCAGACACCGAACTGTGCTGATTCTTTGTGCGCAGGTGTTGTCGAACTTGTGGCGAAGCACACGGTGTGCAAGGAGGGTCGGCCTCTGACGCCTGAGGCCTCCAGAATCCTTGTAAGTGTTACGTTATTATTATATTCACCTTCTGGAGACCGTGTGATATCCCTTTGACGCTGTGCCACACCGCTTTTCGCCCTTCCGTTTTCCTCATTGTGATCCTTTTCACCGTTGCAACAAGTATGTGCAATATTTTTTGTGTTGCCAGACTTGCCTGTCTTTATTTATTTATTTATTTATAACGGCGGTTCATTCGGTAACTGGGTAGCGAAAAGTGATAAAACTTCGAAGGTCGATGGCTGGGAACCATACTTGCAAGCGGACACCGTCCGGACGTTTCCGCACGTGCGGCGGACCGCCGGACTGGACCCGTGCGGCGCACGAATGTGCGCCCCACGACCAGTTACCCCCTACCCCCCCCCCCAAAAAAAAAGAAAAAACGGCCCCGTCCGGTCCGGGGGAAGGGTGCCGCACGCGGCAAAGCGGACCGGATCGGATGCTCGTCCGGTCCGTCTGCTTGCAAGTATGCTGGGAACATGTCTCATTCAAATCATAAGATGAGGTCATGGGATTGTTGTTGTCGGGGGGGATTTTTTTTTGGGCAATGATGTACGTATGTATGAATGTGCTTCATACACTCACAGTTTGCTGAGGTATGATAGGAGGATACAAAAAGTCCTTCGGGACATCTGGTCGAGATGGAGTGATGACAAAAAACGTTCTTTTTTTTTGGCAAACAAAAAAGGCGTTTTTTTTTTATTTTCAAGTTTCAGCATTTTGGTGCCAATGGAATTTGAAGAATCTCCACCAAAGGCCTTTTTTAGAGGCTTTTTTTTTTTGGAATTCTGAAATATGCAATCAGACTCGCTTATTCACACTTGTTACACATGCAAACAGTGAGACAGCAAACTGGCGACATGCGCCCACTCAGTACTCGAAGATATCGTAACCAGATATGAGTTCTCTTCAAACTGGCTATGGCGACTGTGCGCCCATACAACTCACTGTTCACACTCAAGATCACCCTGGATGTCCCACACGCAACACTCAGTGTTCATACACAACACACACACACTAGGCTATGGCTATGGCAGCGCTAGCTGCCACTACCCTATCGCTACACTACACTTCTCTGCCCACTTCGTCTTCGGGCGCACTGCAGACCTCCTCGCACAAGCTGCTGAGGCAGCGCTTCCGCATGGCATCCGCAGGAATGAATGAATGGCTGGACGCAGCCTCTTGATTTATACTTCTGCGCTGCGTTGGTCTGCCCTGTATCCCTTGGCCCACGATGTGCACAGTCCCAGACAGTACTTGCTTGACTGGACCGGAATGGGCTACCTGGGACTGCTGACTGGGCTAGGTGGACTACCACCACTTGACCACTTGCCTCTGCTGAACGCAGGCCAGCTCCGAAAGGCCAGTTCTAGAAACCTCTACGCTGGCCCTTCGGTACTGTAGCAGCTACGACTTTGCCCTTTCAGGTAAGTTGCGGCTACGACCTCGACCCTTCAGGCAGTCTACAGCTACGACTTAGAGCTGTCTAGACTCCTACCCTACAGGTCTACAGTTCGAATCTCTTCTAAGCTGTGACCTACGACAATCTACCTACCACTGGCGTTTCGACAGGTCGCAGGTTCAAATCTACGGGCTGACCTCAATACTGTACACGGGTAAGATGGGGAACTAGGGATCGAGCCCTGGGACCTGCATTCGCTACTGCGAATTGGTGAATACCGTTTCAAATATTCTGAAATGCATCTTTTTTTTCGTTTATTTTTTCTCTGTCCAAGTATGAGATGTGAAAGATTTTATTCAGCATAAAATATGCGAACAGCCCACTCAAAAAAAGATGTGAAAGATTTTGTTTGGGAATGCAGAGAAAATAGCCCGCTGAAAAAAAAAAAGAAAAAAAAGAAAAGGCACGTGGATGGCTGGATGTCCCGGTGCATTCTTGCTTGGCTAGGGTTGTCCTTTCAGCGCTTAAACCACCACCACCCCCGCCGTCATAAATTAGGGGGAACCGGTAGCACAGGTCCATGAGGGCTACCGGTAGCACAGTCGGGGGAACTGGCGGAGTGGCAAAAGTCRAATTACCCCCGCGATTTATTTCGCGGCTCAAGTGATTTTATTTATTTGTTTTAGTATTTTTCCTGTAAAGATCACGACAAAATCTACGGACCCTCCAATTTTCAGAGTTGTTGGGTCCTTCTTCTGATCGCAAAAAATCGCGAAAGTTGGGTTAAATTTCCCGTTGGCTCATACATGGTAGAGTAGCAAAAATGGAAAATGTGACGAAACGGCGCGGCATTTACTTCACCGTCTAAATTTTTTTTTTTCATTTTTTTGATATTTTTCCTGGAAAGATCATGACCTAATCTACAGGATATCAAATTTTCATATTTTTTTGCCAATATTTCTGATCGCGAAAAATCGGCGAAGTTCGCGCTTGGAAATTTTTGGACTGGACCCGCCTGCGCCAGGCCGGTCGCCTCCCCCCCTGAGAACCCGGTCCGTAAGGCCAGGAAAGTCCATTTCAGGCCCGCGGGGGTAGTGGTGGTTTAATGATAAATCAAACAGACTTTTTCTGTGCTTTACCCTCTTGTTTATATCTTCATTCGTTAAAAATAAATAAGAACAAAAAAATCTTTCTCTTGATGTTAAGAGTCTCTTCCCCTTCGTGAAACACAGACGATTAGTTTGAATCCCAATGGACTCGGATAACGACAATCGTGTCAGTCAGGGTTTCCCCTTTAGGAAAGAAAATAGAAGGGGAAAAAAGAAAAAAAGGCCTCGTGACCCTCGTCCCTCTCATGAGAACGTTTTGCGATGGTAAGTTTTCTTAAAGCACCACTACGTTTCCCAGTGTTGGGAAAACGAGAAAATAAATTCAAATGTCCTATAATGCAAACAAATCGGAGGCCGTGCCGGATGACGGCCGCTGTGGATAGGATAAATTTCAACAGCGACCGCTCGTTTTTTCGTATCGGCCACCCAACAATCAACAATTCGGGGGGCCCGAGGGCGCCCCACATGGGGAAAGGGAGTGGTGGTTTAAATTTTTAAACCCACAAAGTACGCATGGTGAGTGTTTTGAAGCAAACTTACCATCGCAAAACGTACGAAGCCTCATGGTAAGTTTTTGTAAACCCAGAGTAAAGTACACATGGGGGGCTTTGCCGCACGACTCACCAAATTTTGTGCTAGAACATGGAAAGATACGTGCGCCATTTTCTTTTTTTGTCTTTTTCAGATTTGGTGAGCAGTGTGGCGAGGCCCGTGGTAAGTTTTCTTAAATCCAAAGAACACAATGGTAGGTTTTTAAGAAAACTTGCGATGTTATTTTTTTTAAAACTCTTTTACAACCCTAAATAGTACCATTTAATTTGGTGGAAATTTATAGGTCGAGTGGGCCAAAATAGTAAAATACTCTTTAGATATTGGGCCTCACTCCACTACTAACAAAATGTGCTGCAAAATGAGAATGAATCTTTCACTAGAACATGGAAAGATCCACCCCGCCATATTTTTTGGTCTCTTGTGCGTGTCGTGAATAGTGGAGCGAGGCCCGTTTAACTGTGTTTTTTTAACTTTTTTTTTGTATTTTTTTTTGGAGAAGCAGATAGGTAACACTCCGTCTCATATAATTAAACTCTACATTAAAAAAACTACTCTATTAATTCCAATTACAATAATAATTGAATAATTACAATATTCTATTCTATTACAATACATGGAGTATATATTATTACATTATATTAATGATTATTACAATATCGATACACAAATCAAAATAGATCATTCTACAATAGTAGAATATATTAAAATAAAACTTATAAATAACATACTTAGCAAAAATGACTTGCCAGAATAGCGATCGCTATCAGATCTGTTGAAATTCAGAGAAAAAAATAATAAAAAACTTCAGAGAAAGATGCAAGCAGCTCTTAGATTACCAAAAAGACACCCAACCACACACACACACACAAAACAAACAAACAAACAAACAAACAAACAAACAAACAAACTCCTGAGTGCTCATTGGTTTGGTGGCCGGACGGCTGTGGCGGGTCTGTGACCTTTGTTGTGCAGCGCCTGCTTGGGGTCAAGATGGCCCCATTTCACATACACTTGGTTGCAAGATGGGTGCCGGAAACAGAGCTGGAGATTTTTCCTGAAGCTATGGCGCAGGCAGGGTGAACGGCCACGACTAGTTAGGGGATTCAACTTTCTCTTCGCTGGCGTGCCCCTGCTAGGACAATCCTCCATATCCCCCTCTTGTGCAGATGATGCTAGTCCTAGTCTAGGTAGAAGAACGAATGTAAGCACTGCGCCGACTAATAGGATGTGATTGATTTCCTTCGGAGATTTTTGCACAAGCCATTGTCGCTGGCTCCCTCTGTTCCTTGTCTTTCTCCCTACCACATGGACTTTCCTGCCGGCTCCACCTTCTTTGCGCTCTGTCGTGGTCCCCTCTCGTTTTCTTCGTCTGTCTGTCTGGCTGTCGGTCTCCTCTCTCTCCTTTCTCTCTTTCTCTCTTACCACTCATTCTCCCCCTCCTCTCTCCTCTCTCTCTTTTTCTCCCCCCCTCATTCTCCTCCTCCCCCTCCTCTCCCTCCYGCGYCSTCYCWCTCTCTCTCTCTCTCTCTCTCTCTCTCTCTCTCTCTCTCTCTCTCTCTCTCTCTCTCTCTCTCTCTCTCTCTCTCTCTCTGTSKAAGCTCTGCCCCCYTTTYTKATCACTGGAGTACTTTCTYYYTTTACCTCCCATGCATGCATGAGTGAAATAGTGAATGGTTTCTTGGTGTGGTTGTGGAGCCATGCCTCGCACCCTCGACTCCGCACTCCCCTCCTCCCTTTCTCCCATCTTCCTTCTACTTCTTTTGAAGCCTGTTTTCTGCTGCCTCTTGCTCAAGTGTCTCCGAAAGGGACCATGAACACCGCTGCTCCACCACATCGGCTCCTTGATGTGGAACCCCTCCCTGTCCAACAGTCAGCGGCAATTCCGTTGTGTGGGATTTCTGTTATTTCGATTGGCGATGGATGTTATGGGTTGTTCTGTGTTTGCAGTTTCTCGATGGCGTGTTCGTTCGTATGACTTTCAAAACTGTCCTTTGGGACATCCGTTAAAATTGGATCAATACAGAGAAATAAGATTAGCATGGCCCCTGCGCAAGGCTGACGAGCATACAAATCGAGATATCATCCAAATTTTTGTATGTAAAAAAAAAAAAAAAGGACTTTCAAAACCACTGCCATTAGTGGTATGTAGATAGTGAAAGGTGAAATTGAGAGACAAATATAAATATACCTTAGTTAAAGAAAACTTTAAAAAAGAAAAAAAAAGAAGCTGGTTGCTTAATGGAATTCCTCCTGCAATGAAGACTTTTGATACCTTGTGTCAGTTTGCGGCAATTTGTTTTGGGTGCTGTGTGTGCTTGTGCGCCCGATTCGCGAGTGCAGAGCTCGCAAACTCCTACTTCTCCCACACCCATGCCCAACCCCTTTTTAACATCTATAATATTTTTATTTATTATTATTATAAAGAAAGGAAAATTCTTTAAGCCCAACCAATTCCACATCCATAATATCGGTTTAAAAAGCGCCAGCCAGCCAGCCATAACTGCGGTTTAAAAATCATCGCACCCTGGCCCAGCTGCAGCTAGGCCCGCCCCAGCCAGACCTTGAAGAAGAATTGCAGCCGGAGCTGCCGGGACCCAGACATACTTGTCACTGCCTGCGCCTACCAGTACATGGCCCCAGGCATCGAAAGGAACTGCTTTTGAGCCTCTCCGGAAATTAAGGAGGTTGAGTGCCGTAGATGAAATGAAATGAATCGGCGGCAGGCGGCCTTCGAAAGCGGCCCGAGGCCGATGGCTGGCATGTACTGGTGCTTTAAGCACAATCCCACCCTCACCTGCCCATAGCTGGAATTTTTTTCACTACCCTGAGTCACCTGCCCATAGCCGCCCGTACCCGCCGTTGTTCTTCAAAGTTTTCAACACCCTACCCACCCACATACTCAGCCTGACCATTCCCACTTATACAATTGGTGGTCACCGTGGCCCCGACAATATAGAACCGTCGATCAAACGATTGGAACTCGAGAACAACAAGGTACATCTCTACTGAGTCTACTCTTCTCTACCTTGTGCTCTAATCTCTACTCTCATCTACTCTCTGCTCTCGTACGTACTAAATGGATTGCTCCCCGTAACCCTTTCTGGCGCGGGTGGAGGTGTGCTGTCTATTCTTGTGAACGACAAGTCTCGAGACAACTGCGCATGCCACATGAGTGGGAGTGAACAAGGCATGAGACAAAATTGAAATCATATTGAGGTCACACATCCAGCAAACTGGTGGTCTGCTAAAAAAAAAAAAAGAAAGTCAATGGAAAATAGGGGCGGGTACCCCTATAGACATATATGCATGGGTGTAGACCCCCACATGCAGACATACATATCTTGTTGGCGGCGGGTGACCTGTGCCAAGTCTAGCTCCGCCCACACCTGACCATGTTCTGTTTGGTTTACAGAAGGCCAGCAATAACTGGGCCGTTTCTCTTCACCACAATTGGCCCCCAACCCGGCCCAGGGCCATCCTCCCCCCTTCTCCTGCCCACACCTGGTCAGGTGGGACATGGGCTAGCCAGACCTGCCTGCAGCTGTCGGGTCCGGCCAGGGCAACTGGGTGTGGCTACGGCCACAGCCCCATTTGCACGCTCCGTTGACTCTCGATCATACTTGCAAGCAGACGGACCGGACGAGCGTCCGGTCCGGTCCGCTTTGCCGCGTGCGGCACCCTCCCCCTGGACCGGAACGGACGGGGCCGTTTCTTTTTTTGGGTGGGGCGTAACTGGTCGTCGGGTACACATTCGTGCGCTGTGCGGGTCCGGTCCGGGGGTCTGCCGCACGTGCGGAACCGCCCGTATGGCGTCCGCTTGCAAGTATGCTCTCGATTGTGCATGTTCATCGCGATGCCGTGGAGAGCGAGTCAGCGAGTGCTCTCTGAGCTCAGGCTGAAATTGACTTGTCGTGCCTCGGTCGCCCATGTATATTCTTGCGAAAAGAAACTTTGAGAAAATAATTTTTTCCATGAATCAGGGCAACAGGTCTGGCGAGCCTCTCATTCGTAGCACAGGCTTATAACTGCACTGGCAGTGGCTTCACCGCTGGGGTCTCGGCTGAAGTGGATGCATCGACTTCGACTTTTCACCCACACTGTTGTTCGATAATAATATGACGAGAACTGGGAATTGATGGGGTTACAGAGCTGTAACAGTCGTTGAGGGAAAACATGGACCAGGTAGGGAAATAAAAAAGAAGTAAAACTTTCTGGATGCCAGCCGATGGCAATTAAACCCAAGACGGGGGGGGGGDGGGAGGGGCAAACCTACACATATTTTTATGTCCTGTGCTCTGACTCCTGTAGGTAGGTGTCAATCGCCAGTAGGCCCGAAACGCCGACATTCACAACTTCTCTGATGCCAGTAGGTACAAAACGCTTTCTCTTTTTTTTTTTTTTTTTTTGTGGACCATCTCTAGATTTATGCGTGTCATCCCTTGAACCACCAGTAGTTGGCCCAGCTATCGGCCGCGGGAAAAAAATAGAGTAGAAACGTTTCCAGTTGGATGAATTTGGGCGCTCCTGTAGTGGCCGTACGTTTCCGAAAATCGCGTAGCGTAACGCTACGCGACTTTAGGAAGTACTGGTGGGTTTAAAGCGCAGGGGCCATCATGATGCTGATCTTCTTTCTCTGTATCGTTCCAATTGCAGCGGATGTGTCCTGAAGGACAGGCCCAAAACTTTTACCTTTTGGTTCGTCAGGTTTTTGAATTTTGTCTTTAGTATGCGGCGGCAGGAACCTTACGGACCGACGGCAGACGCTGCGCTTCGCGTGTGAATCTCACGAAGGCGTGAAAGCGCACATACTATAAATTTCAGAGTCTTTTCGAAGACCGCTCAATACATCAAAAGACCAATGATTTGTTGTCTGATTAATAAAATTACCTTTTCTCCCCTTGAGCATAATAATGGCCCGCATCATGATTCTATCAAGTGGATCGCGCATAGCACCAGTTGTTTCTGTGCTTCCGTCACACTTGGGTTGCAAAAAAACGTCTTCCTCCTCGAGCACTGGGATGATGCTTGTGGGGGGCGCACAGAAAGGGAGGACTCGCCACCGCACGGTGGTAGGGTGGTAGGGAGGGGGGGGGGGGGGCTATAGTCTGAGATTGGGTTTCAGCAGCATGTGGCTGGGCCCGGAGCACTCGTAGTACACGACAAGCTTCCGTATCATCCGGATTATCATACTGCTGTCTCTTATACACATCTAGATGTGTATAAGAGACAGGGAGGGAGATGAAGGATGGGAGGGGCGAGCAGG